TTCTTTCTTCTCTTTCCCTTTCCTTCTCTCTCTCTCTTATTTATTTTTTGGCGGGGGGCGGGGGGACGAGGCAAAAGCCCTTTGCCCCCGTTTCCCTCTTTTCTTCTTCTTCCTCTTCTTTCTTTCCTTTTATCTTCTCTTTCCCTTTCCCTTTCCCTTCTCTCTCTCTCTCTTATTTATTTTTTGGCGGGGGGCGGGGGGACGAGGCAAAAGCCCTTTGCCCCCGTTTCCCTCTTTTCTTCTTCTTCCTCTTCTTTCTTTCCTTTTATCTTCTCTTTCCCTTTCCCTTTCCCTTCTCTCTCTCTCTCTGATTTATTTTTTGGCGGGGGGGGGGAGGGGGGGGGCAAGAGTCCTTCGCCCTTCCCCCGTTTTCCTCTTTTCTTCTTCTTCCTCTTCTTTCTTTCCTTTTATCTTCTCTTTCCCTTTCCCTTTCCCTTCTCTCTCTCTCTCCGATTTATTTTTTGGCGGGGAGGGGGGGGGGGGGGGAGTGAGGAGGAGGCAAGAGCCCTTCGCCCCCCCCCCGTTTCCCTCTTTTCTTCTTATTATTCTTTCTTTCCTTTTATCTTCTCTTTCCCTTTCCCTTTTTTCCTTCTCTCTGTCTCCCCAAGCTAGGGCTGGTTTTGTTTACGAAGCGCCCGTCAGGAGAGTACACGATAGAGTACACGATAGAGTACACGATAGAGTACACGATAAATTTGACGATATCGTGAACTTTATATCGTGAACTTTTCACGATAAAATTCACGATATCGTCAATTTCATCGTGAAAAGTTCACGATAAAGTTCACGATATCGTCAATTTCGTGAATTTCTTCGTGAAAAATATGCGATAAAATTGACGATATCGTGAATTTTATCGCATATTTTTCACGATTTAGTCTATTCGCGATGTCCCTTCAGGGCCACCATACGAACGTCATGGAGAAAAGCCATGTCCATCAGTTATGGTAGTCTAGACAAATTATTTATTAATACTTATATTTAATTCATTATCATGATAAGTGGAAATTCAATATTATATAATTAGATTTCGACAGTGTGTTCGCTCGGTAATTAGAATTCAGTTTAATATAATCATAAGCATTATTGTTCATGAATAGACTACATGGGGAACCCATTATATTCTAAAATCGTTATCGCATTGTTTTACACAGTTTAGATTGAATGATACCTCAATGACACGGGGTATGATATTTTGCTTGGACATTTGACAACTTAAAAGCACAAATCTATCGCTGGCCAGTGTGAGGGGAAGGATGCGCTAAATTTAGACCATTGAAAACAGACAGGGGATACTACGAGGATTCAATTAGTCTGGTATTCTGGTCTAGTCTGGCTACCAGGCTACGATAGTATTTTTGTCCCGACTCAAATGGAAGGAAGTGCGGGACCCCAACTGAGGGAATAGGAGAGAAAGAAAGATATATAGGTAGAGAGAGAGAGAGAGAGAGAGAGAAAGAAAGAAAGAGAGAGAGAGAGAGAGAAAGAGAGAGAGAGGGAGAGTTGTTGCTGTTGTTTAATTTAGGCAAGTCAGTCAGTTTATGTTCATTAAGGTTAAATACTTTATAACAAATTTGTTTTGTATTTAATAGAGGGTAATAGAGGGGCGGGGTGACGGAAAGCGGTACAAAGAGATTGATGGATTCGGTGGGGAGGGGGGGGGGGTGTCAGGTAGATAAGAGGGGTAGAGAAAAAAAGACAGACACCGAGCAAGAGATACACAATGCAGAGAGGGGAGAGAGAGATTAGGAGGAGAAGGGGAGTAGAGTATAATGCATGTAGAGGGAAGAAAACAACTTTTCCCAGAATAAAGGCTAATTGTGATCACGCATTTAGTCAACTGTCACTCTGAGTCATTTTTTATTTTCTCTCTATTGCCCATGTGTCCATGATTTTCGTAAACTTTTCGACGGCTTGTGACCAACTGATGTGTGCTCCAGGCATATTACTAGTACAGAATACTGAATGACAATATTCACTGAATAGTGTATGTTATAGGTTGAGGATTTATCATAATACCTATGGTTATTGGTTTTAAAACAGTTATCTGATTTAGAAGGTAATATTAGTATCGATGTCGTTTTTATTATTCATTTTTAATGTTATCATCATTATTATCATTATTATTGTTGTTATTATTATTATTATGTTCATATTATTATTATTATTTATTTAAAAAAATATATTATTATTGCATGTATCATTATTTTAAATTTATCATTACCATCATCAGCAGTAGTATTAGTAGTAGTAGTGTTGATGTAGTAGTAGTAGTAGTAGTAGTAGTAGTAGTAGTAGTAGCATTAGTAGTAGTATATAGAAGTATCACGAAAAGATTCATCAATACGTTACTTCATGAATATCTCTGTTTTGGGGGCATATTTACTCCATCACAGCATACAATACACTTTTCCCTTCATATATATATATATACTCATGTGCAACTCATAATCAAACACATTCACATTGACTACCGCAATGACACAGTCATAGTCAAATGCGCTGCAATGGGGGATTTAAACCGGAAATAGAAGACTCAGATCAAGTATCGGATTATTACGGTTAAACGTTGGCTCGGCTATTTTCGTTTCTCACACGGCTTTCTGGGTACAAAGATAGATAGATTAGTGATATTTTTAGAGGTTTTCAGTTCGAATTCGGGATTACACGTCATACATCAAAGTGAATAATATCAAGCCTAATCATAGGCTAAGCGTTTCTATGTTTTTCAGCTTTATTGTTTAGAAATGATGCGAGTATTGCTGGATGCATGTAAATACAATCGTTGAAAATAGAAAAAACAAACGCTGGTTATTCTAAGCGTTATTGGATTTTTATAAACCCTGTCCATCAAATCTCATTGTCATAATTCAAGTCATATAACTACTAAAAAACTTATTTTCTTCATTCATTCATTTTTCTTAAAATGAAAGCAAAAATCTCCAGACAAACTGCAAATAGCTGTTCATATAGACATAAACATATAAATAAAAAAGGCTCTTCAGACAGAACAAACATGACTTGCAGAAGATACAAAGATATACAATATTTTTAAACGTCTCTTATGCTTTACATGTTTGTCTTACCGACAATGTTTTTTTTTTCTTTCTTCTTTTTAGAGGCAGAGTTACAGAATGTCCTCGGTTGTTTACCATGCGATTTGACGTGATGACAAAAAGCATGACAAGTTTTATGTGATCATTGCCGATTTGGGAATGGATAAAAATGTACCCGTGCTTCCTTAAAATCAAATTCCTTCACGCAAAACTTCGCCCCTTTTACTTGATTTTCTTTTCTTTCTCGGATTATTATATCCTCTTTTGAGGAAAATCCTGAATTCGCCTCTGTATGTGACAACTAAGTCATGTGAGTGCTCTAACCACATAGAACATAATACACCGATAATGATGGAATATCTTTATCATGATATTTTCATGTTTACATTACGATGATTGATAATTCATGGATATCCTGTTCTCCAGGCAAAATTAATGTTTTCCCACAATCATGATATTGTTATCATTGTCTAGAATTTGTCAAAAGTGTATAGAGACTAACACAAGGCAAATAGGCGTAAATATTCATGATTGAATGGTACAAGCCAATAAAACTTAAAGCTAAACTTTAGTACTGGTAATGCGATTGCATTGTGAAAGAAAAGGGGTGGAAAGGATCAGAAACAGTTGATCATGTAGCATGTAAGTATTGGTGTGCACTGCAAGGTTCTGGAGTCATCAAAATCAGAATAAATTTGACCGAGTCTTGGTAACGTAACAAGCACTGTACACAAAATGCTATATATGGGACAACACACATGGTGTAGGGGCTAGTACTACCTTGATTTCCTTGTCTTTCTATGCTCATTACTCAGCCAGTATATTTCTTCCAAAATTGTTTGGCACATGTCATTTATTTGTAATCTTGAACATTCAGTGTAAGTTTCGTTTGATTCTGTGAGAATTTTTTTTTTTTTCTTTCTTCAGAACTGGAGTTTATCTTTAAACTAAAACAACAACAACAACGTTATTATTCCATCATCATCATGATTGTAATTTATATGTTATTGTTTGTAAGTAAGCAACCAGGGGACCGACGGCTTTCATTCCTCCCCAAAGGATTTTGGTAATGAAGATTATGCCTTACCAATGGGCACTAGTACATCGACTTGATTTCGAAACGGTGAACTCTCGGTTGCGAGATTACTGCTCTATACCACTGGGCATAGAGTACTATTTCATATGGATTAGATTAAAGCAAAAACTAATAAAGAAAATAGATTAAAGGTCTTTTCAAGGGAACCTTGTACAATACTGCGGGCTTTGGTTGACTACATATTAAAAAGAGGAGACATGACAAGGATTTGAAAAGAGGTCGTGCGTGACCGCGTGCCGCTAACGCACAATCGGTAACCTTTAAAGGGCTGTGAATATTCATGAGCTGTCGAAGTTACAGGGCTGAATGACAATACAGATGTACATTATTCTTCGTAATTTGTCACTAAATCTTGACATCACAATGGTTGTTTGGTATTTTTTCTTCCTAGAAATGGTCTTTCTTCTTGTCGTTCTGTTTACTCACTTTTACATTTAAAATGTCAAATACAGGAGAACACATATTTATATCAATTTCGATGTCCCTATATCATAAGATTAGATGAATGTTTAATAATAACTTTACCGTTGTGTGTTCTCAGTGTTTTTATGATGTTAGTATTTATGTTCGTGGCGGCCATGTTGATGATAACACTGTCGTAGTCATATCTTATAATGCTCGCGTTGAAATCACTGGCAACGTTGTTGTGGACATGTTTTATGTTGAAGATGTTTCAGCAATATGATCATTAATAGTAACGCTGTGGCAGATTATATTTCATGTTAAAGAGGTTGAACACATAACAACATATTAGCCAACAAATCTTAGGTTGGAGACATGTAAACAATATGATGGTTAATGATAATGTTGTGGTAGCCATATTACAGACCGTGTGGTTTGTTACCTACCAGAATGATCGCCGAATAATCCTAATATCGGCCGTGGTTCGCTTTCTTCTCAGCGTCGTGTCTCGTCGTCGGGTTGAATTCCCATCCCGTCTTCGGAAGTGCATCGAATCTCTAAACGACTGCGTCCGTCTCAGCGTCCAGTCACTCCTACTCCTGTTCAAACTCCGGAGCGACATCGTTCGACGACCGCGTCGAATCGAGTCTCGAAATCGAGACCCGTAGTCGTTGTCGCTCAGTGTACGAAGCCGACGACGAAACGAACTGTCCTGGCTGTTTACCGTGCCCATACGACGACGAAACGACGTCCTCGCACCTTCGATTGTCGGGGCCATCCATTTTGGAACGCGGAGTTTTGGCCCACACCACCAGTTTGGCATGGTCGATCACGACTTCAACAACGGCAAAAAGATAAATATACAACTCCTGTAACAAATCCGTTTTACTTGTCGTTGGAATATTCGTGATCACAAACACTTTAATCTTCTGAAAACTTCTGGCAAAAGCATTGCTGATTCGGACGTATGGGGCAGGCTAATCCAAAGAGTAGACTTCCTGGTTCGTCGAAAGTTTTTCACAGTTACAGCTTTTGAGTGATTATTCCGCTTGTGCCACTGGCAAATTTAGTACTGATTCTATGCACTGTTGGTGACTTGTGTGCAATGAGCGACAGACAACAATTGCGCAGCTTCTAATAGAGAGGTAACACGGTTCTGTTTTTACTAATACGGCGCATGAACGAACACAGATAACAGGGGTTAATGTAGCCACGTCATCCAAAACAACACCAAGAAAGTACATAAGTATGTGTTCTGACTCTACTCAAGACATTATCTTAATACTTTCGGGCAAGGGCGCTGGCAACACCTGTGTTTCTGTAGAAGTAGAAAGATAAAGTTTACGGACAAAATGGGTGCCAATGAATTCAACTTGGAGCGGAAGGCCCGGCTGTTTAGATAATGTTTCCTGCCAATGTATGACGTAGCAGACTAGAACCCAATAATTGAACTCTTTGCCAAAAGTATTAACTTTTAAATCACACAACTTCTCGGTGAAAATTCACCAATTCAGTTCGAAACGTAGGCCTACCATTTTCGCCATTACAAACTAGAGCCACCCAAGTAAAACAATTTGTCTTCAGTTTGGAAAAGAGGCAATGGAATGACACATAATAGACAAGGCCAGCGGTTTATACGGGGAAAAGTTTGATGCTTTGAAGGCTATTGTGTCTGAAAAGTAGAGAGAGATTGAAGCCAAAAATTGGGCGAATCCAAATTGACTTTATTATACTGCTAGCGACTGGTGTAACAAGACAATGCTGCGCTTACAAGTTTACGAGATCACTTTCAATAACATAATGTCACCTATTTTACGTATTTCGCTGCGATTACTACTTTTACCATTTCTTAATGTTATTTAATATTGAGTTTTATCAAGGGCATTGCGAGTTCACAGTGTTGTCCTGCTGTGAAAATGAAAATAAGATATTTAATCCTGTACACAATACCCGGATGGGAAGTCAGCTGATAGCCGATTAGCAAACCACAAACTCATCGGGCAGGACGGGTTAGAAGACAAAGTCGTGACACAAATACGGCTCGCCCTGGTCCGGGAACTTCCACAAATTTATTTGCAACAAACTTTCCAAGTCGAATTTCAAAAATGTAGCAAGTGTGCTAAAAATCTTAGACAGTTTTAAAATCCCTTGATGTGAAGAAAATTCCATGTATTCCTATTGCTCTAACTATAAAATGTTAATATCTTCAACCGCATGAAGAACTGACATTGTTGTATTCAGGCTTGCCAAGCACGTAGCATTATCTTTCGCTGGAAAAAAATAGGAAAAGAAAATCACAACCCCCAAAGTAATTCCTTTTTCGGCAGATTCTTGCTACTTGGATCTAACAGTAGTGATGAGGGGTTTGCATAGATACAAGCGTTACAGATCGTGTAGTAGTAGGTTTGTATTAACATAATATCCTTGATTATAGTCCCATGGGGAAGCGAGAAGGATTACATGGGGATTTGCGCGCTAAGTAAAGCTGACGAGGCCGCTGATTGGCCAAGAGTGGTCCCTATAGCAACAACTAATGAGCCTGTCAACGTTGAGTCAGAGGTGGCGCTGTTCAATTCATAGAATCGTATACACCGACCTCGACTTATGAATTATTATTTCGAGTATGACTGAATCTTATTCAAAGTATTTACACCACGAATCATTCTAAACGATGAACTATGCGAAATGTTTGCCAAGACAGCCTTCGCCTAAAATGTTTCTTTACATTCGAGATAAAAACTTAAGCCAGAAGGAAAAACCCCTTTTTAAAAAAAGAATTATTGGTTTCATGAGTTTGAGGTTAGGGTGTATCTAAATAACTTCCAATAAATTAACAAGATTCGAAATGACATTGGTGAAATCCCCAGCAACAAGCTTATTTTAATACTCCCAAATTTCTGGGAAAATATAATTTTCTTCCAAAAAAAAATAGTGTTGAATCTCTGTCCTTGAAGTGAAATCCTCTCTGCTTTTGCTCCTATCAGGGGTTTTCCCCACCAAAATGTTGAAATAACTCAAGTAACGATAAATAATCCAAGGCCCTCTGCTTGGGGGGGGGGGGTGGCACTAGCCCGAAAATCTGTGAAATGTTACATAAAGGGGCATAATACAACTCCCTTGAATCCGCCTTTGAAGTGATAACCCAAATGCCACCTAGACAGTTTGTGAGTCCCAGATAACTTGAAGCTTTCCAAGCCGTCTCGACGTAGGGTCCGTTCAGGGAATTTTATCTACCAGATATATTAAGAAACGAAAATATTGCTGAAAGCAACTCTGCATGATACCCTAGCCTTCGAGATAAACAAAAAAAGAACACATCCTGCCTTGGGCCATGATTGTATTTCAGTCTTTAAAAGTAACTTTTTGAAAAACTTTCCCTTTTTAGACACTGCCCGTCGTCCTTGTGAAAAATAGTGTATATTTCAGATTAGTCTTTCGGGGTTTTCCCCCGTTATCATGCGGTGCAACATTGTTTTCGAAATGTATGTCTGGAAGTTGTAACGGTTCAGCGCCGCAGGGTGCCGACAAGTCAACGCAAACAAAAACGAAATGATATATTCTTTTTGTTAATGTATATATATATATATTTCTCTCTCTCTCTCTCTCTCTCTCTCTCTCTCTCTCTGTCATTCGAATGTTGTGAGGATTCAATCCCATGTAGACCGGGGTGCTGGGGAAAAACCCTGGTCTTTCAGGTCTATAACATTGAATTTGAACTTTTCGACTTCAGTTAATAGCCTCACTCTCTGAATGTAAGAGAATATCACCAATGATTTCCTACATTTATCGATCTTTAATCTATTCGAAAAAAGATTAATAAAAGCTTCAGATATTGAATTGAATTGACCATGTACAAGCCTCTGGATGTATGCACGCCCTCACGTGTTTGAAACGACTACAGGGCGGCAATGACGCCCCAGATCATTGTTGCCTGGGTTGCGACAAGGATCATTTTGGGAATTCTCAAATTCAAATCAATACCCCCCCCCCCCCCGCCCTTTTATACAGTGTAATAATGAAACTGGTTTATACACTGAACATTCTTGGTACTCTATTTTTATCGTATTGATATAATTTGATGATACTTTACTGTATTGACTGCCAGTCGTTTTCAAATGCACAATAATAATAATATATCACAAATCTGATCGAAAAGGACTTTAAAGAAATAAAGCTTAAAGGGTCATTTCAATATACTATTGTATTGCCCGAAGAAATCATCTTCGGAATACAAAGTTTGTCAAAAGGCGACCAAAAAAGCTAATGTCATTGTCCTCAATGACTTGCGTTGATTTTTTTTTCTTCAAAGAAAGTTTTTGCGATCGTTTTTAAAAGTCATGCTCTATTTCAGCCCCAAAACTGAAATGAAGTTAAATCTATATGCTAGGTAGACTCACGGACCTGAGCTAATAGATATGTAGATATTCACTTTCAGTTGATGTCAGTTCAACGTCATCCCGACATCAATTATACCTTTTGCTGACTTCAGATTTACTATTTGTCCAATTCGAATTCCTTATCTACCTGAGGGCTTGGTTACTGGAAGAGGATGGCATATCTCAAGGGAACTACATTGTGTACATTATGTTTTATGACTTGAATTATAAATTTGTTTCAGTTTCTTATTTACAACAACTTACAAAAAAAAAACAGTTTCCTTGCATTCCTTAGTCTCATCTAACTGTTTCACTCTAGCTCACTTGGAAAAGATGGTAAGAGAGTGGAACAGTCTAGACATGCTATAGAGAGAATCTAAAACACAGGGGGATACATGGAGCAAGGAAGGGAAGAGAGAGAGAGAGAGAGAGAGACAGAGAGAGAGAGACAGAGACAGAGAGACAGAGAGAGGGGGAGGAGAGAGAGAGAGAGAGATATATATATAGAGGGAGAGAGATAGGGAGAGAGAGAGAGAGAGAGAGAGAGAGAAGAGAGAGAGAGAGAGATATTGGGGGCGCTGAGAGGGGGTAGGAGGGAAAGTCATAAGGCATACAGGATAGGTACGCAAATCAGAGCATATACACTGAGGCAGACAGACAAACAGACACACAGACCTGTAGAGGAGGACAAAACGACACATATATACAAAACAGGCAAGACAGGGCCGGGTAGACAAGACAAGGAAGTAGAAAATACGTATGACAAGTTCATTTTAGAGCTGGAATCTCAAATGTTTACCGACTAAACCAGGGTCGCCTTGACTCTGAGCCAGGTCGTGAGAGGTATGCAGCCAGATCTATAACGAAGAAAATTATGTATATATAATAAAAGTCATATGACCTATATCCTATTTTTTAACCAAACAACGACACAAGACAATCATTATATACCCTCCATTAATGTCTTTCCGTTGGAAATTCTTGTAATTTTTTTGGACAGTTTGGTTCTGTTTCTCATTCCACGTCAAGAGAGAATTACAGAAGCGATATTACAAGATATTGAGCCTAAAACTAAAAGAAGCAAACCTGGATAATTTTTTGTAGGCGACTTCTACAGAATCTTGAAGAATCATTCTAATGAAAAATGAGGGTCCAATATAGGCCTGTCTTCATCAGCTCGAGCTTGCAGGTCCAATAAGGAAGGCTACAATTCAAAGATCATCAATCTTCTCCCGCTTGGAATTTTCCCTATTTCAGTATCATGTTTACACACAAAACAACAGTATCCTGCTCAAACCTACATATTAAAGGTAAAGACCAGTTATGGTCATGCGATTGCATTGTGAAAGAAACGTTGTTGAATCAATCAGAAAAGGTTGATCATCTACCATCTAGCATCTGCAAGGTTCTGGAATCATCAAAATGATAAGAAATTTGGCCCATTCTTCGTAAAGTTACAAGCACTATACACAGAAAGATGTATATGGGACTACCCTATATCTCTCACAGACCATGAGAGAAACAAATTTACCAAATATATGAATTAGTAGGCGGTTTCCCGGCAAATTATGTATCATCATGTATTAGTCAAAACATATTATTTCACATGATTGGTAATGAGAGCTTCCATTTCATTTTTTGAAATTGGGGCGTTTCCAATACTGGTCTTTACCTTTAAAAACGTGAAAGTTATACCATTTCCTTTGAAAAGATAGGTCACCGTTATGACAACAATAGCTTATTGTAATTTGAAAGTTCACCAGTGAAACCTGTTTCGCTATGGCCTTGGCTTTTCCCTTTCTGATTGCATAACACAATCCTAATCCCATAATGATGATTAAATCTTAGATCAAAATTTTGCAATGACATCAATTTAAACTTTTATGATTGGAATACCTCATACACATGATTTATTTTATCTTTTATTGTCATTGTCAGTATTTGTTAACCATGCAACTTTAGCCATTTCCTCAATAGGATCAGACAAAAGAATCTAACTTTATCAATAGTGTCATACAAAGGGTGGTCAAAAATTAGTTTTCAGAGCAGAATCAGCTAAAAAAATATGTATCTCTGATTTGAGAAGACCTTTCGAGGTCTGGACTAAATACTAAATATTAGTTGGCCCCATTTTGGGGTTATCGTGCTTTGGAACAGCCGATGTAGACATTGGCCAAGTCGTGGGATGTGTCGATATTGACAGTTTCGGTAATACCACCATTGTTACTCATCACAACTCGGACAAACCAACAAAGAAGGTTTTTTTTTTAATACTTTCTCCTTCAATTTCCCCTTTGA